TGACACATACACCTTTTAGTAGTTTATGCTCCATTGATACAATAAACTTAAGATTGAATCGTTTCTTTTAAAAGATGAAAAAGCTACTTTCATCATTGTAGTATCAGTTTGTGAAAGTTTGTTTCATGTTAAAATTGATTCAAGACAAATTTAAGTAATTCACACACAACTTAACTCATTTTATAATTCCCCAACAATATTATAGTTTTCACTTGTCTTGAATATTTCAAACAACAACTAGGGGCCCTTCTAGTAATGTCATTTTATATTACCAAATTTTCAATAATAAAATTTGAGGTATTAAAGTTAAATTAAATTTAAAATTAAAGTATTGTTTCTCATTTTAATAAAAAATTTTATTTAATAAAAAAATATTAGAGATATATAAAAAGTTAAAAATATATATTCATTTCTTAGTTTTGTTAAATTTTTTTTAAAAAACTACCTAGTTTCATAAATAAACATTTAAAATTGTCAATAAAAGTTTTGCCTTTGCTCACTTTATTTTTCTGGATGTATCTATGAGTGTAGTTTAGGATTTTGCTATATAATTTAATATTTTTTGGGGTGGTTGAGGAAGGATTTTGATTAGCTTTATATGAAAAGGTGAGAGTAATAAGAAGCAGCACGTGCACAGAAGGAGATTGGCCCGATCGGACTCACTAGTGGAAAAATTAACTACTGTTAGCGCGTCAAACCAGAGACTCCTCCCTCGCCCGCTCTGCTTATTAAAAGCCGGAGATCCTTAATTAATTTTCTCCAAATTGCAGCTATGGCCGAGGAGGTTTGTGCTAAATTTATACTACATTTTTTCTTTCTTTCTTTTCTGTGGCTGCTATACCTCTCTCGCTCTTGATGAAAATTAAGGATATATATATGTAGTGTTGTATTTTGATTTGATGCATATATATGGCGCCCTAATTTTAATTTGCTCGTAATTAATCCTTTTTCTGAAATTAAATTCCTTGTCTAATAGTGATCGATGTTCAATGAACATATATATATTTATATACTTTTACAGGTGATAACAATGGTGCTGAATGTAGTGGACCTACAGTGCTCAAAATGCTACAAAAAGATCAAGAAACTTCTCTGCAAATTTCCTGGTGATTACTCCCTTTCTTCAATTACTATTGTTCTCTCCTAATAAATTAATATATAATTTGTTAAATATAATTTTTGTACATACGATATACGTATATCAATTGATGAATTGATTAGCCAAATGGACTGAGTCGTTGTGTTGTGAACAAATTAATTAAAGAAATACGAGATCAGAAGTATGACGATAAGGCAAACAAGGTGACAATTAAGGTGGTGTGCTGCTCACCGGAGAAGATGAGGGACAAGTTATGCTGCAAGGGTGGTGGATGCATCAAGAGCATC